AGTACAACGCAGATTCTTGAAGTACTTACGTTTCTTTTAAGCTTGATGGCGCGTATCCTGAAAGAGGCTTTCCACACCAATCTCTCCTATCCCGGTATACTGTCCAGTCGATGGAATGCCGCCGAATTGTGAACAGTGTTAAGTTTTTATTGGGCTTATTGCACAATCTTGTAGACTCTCCTAATCTCCTTGCACACCTAAACTTTTCTGTTCCTCAGCGCAACAGCAGGCTTACACTAACTTTCACTTACCGCACTCCGAGAACTAATATATTGTGTAAAGCCCCTACATTAATCATGTCTCGTAATTTTAATATGGTCTGCCAGGATTGTGATATACAATATACCTCTCTACCGGAAATACTTCGCCAACTCATTACTAAGCTCAATAATTCTTTAAGATAATTATTACATATTATTTTTATTTTTTATTTTATTTTTTCTCTTTCATTACTCCTATTACTTATATCTGTTGTATATCTCTATTGTTCATTTGCACGTTTTAATATAATTTATATATATTTTTGTTTATTTTGCGCAATTTAATCGAATTTAATTCTCTTTCAATGCACTTTTACAAATTTTGTATGTTTATAATATTAATTTACTTAAGTATACTATGTTAGTTACATTATTTTAATTTCACTCTTGTAATTGTAATTGTATTGTTGCTCTATCATTGAATGTTTTCTGTTTGAGCAATAAAGTATTATTATTATTATTATGTCGGTGTTTCTTGTGAGAACTCAGGTCTAGCCTGGTTAACTAATCGCACGGATTAAAATCAAGTAACGATTAGTGTCTGTGTCTGGTGAAGTTATGTAGGGTTCTAAAGAAAAATAAAAATAAAATAAATATTCACACACTCACATTGGAAATCTAGAGGATAGTATGTAATTCATACTTACCAACATAGCTATTAATGGCCCCAATAGTCAACGCTATCAGGAAAGAAGAAAACAAAACAAAAAATATCATTATAATAATTCCTGTAATTTTATTAAATAGAGTTTATTGTGTAAGTGTTTCTTTGGCTTTGCGTTTGGTTGACATACAGTGGGTTTTGATTAACGTTGGTGTGTTTAGTGATAGAGGAGTTTTTGTGTTTTTAATTGATTGTATGGTTTTCCTTTGTTCCTGAGGTCGTATTGTGAGGTGTTTGGTTTTTGGATGGAGAAGTATTGCAGTATTTTGTGAGCCTGTGGTCTGTTAAGGTTTTGCGCTCGTTGTATACGAGTGGGTTGTTGACAATGTGGTGTGTTTCTGTGAAGAAGGAGTTATGTGCTTTTAAGTGTGCATAGGGCGTGTAACTTATTGGGTGGACCTGTCTTTGTAGTGCAAGTTTGCGTTACTTGTATTTGGTGTTTCTTTGTTCTTGAGGTTGTATTTGTGTGGTTAGCTGTGGTTTGGTGGAGATTTGCAAGGTATTTTGTTGAGCTAGTAGTGCTGTCAAGGTTTTTGCGTTTGGGTTGTATTACGGGTGGGTTGTTCTTGAGAAGAAGGAGTATTGCGTTTTTTTACTGTGCTTAGACGTGTAACCTTTATTGGGTGGACTGTCTTTGTAGTGCATGTTGCTGTTACTTGTATTTATGGTGTTTTCTTGTTCTTGAGGTTGTATTTGTTGGTTGCTTGGTTTGGTGGAGATATTACAGTATGTGTGAGCGGTAGTTTCTGTTTAAGGTTTCGCGTTTCGGTTTGAATACGAGTGGGTTGTGATAACGTGGTGTGTTTATGTGAAGAAGGGTTTTTGTGTTTTTTAATTGTATTTATGGTGTTTCTTTGTTCCTGAGGTGTCGTATTTTGAGGTTGTTTGGGGTTTTTGGTGGAGATATTTGCAGTATTTTGTTGAGCTGGTGGTGCTGTTAAGGTTTTTGCGCTTCGGTTGTATTACGAGTGGGTGTGTGACAATGTGGTGTGTTTCTGTGAAGAAGGAGTTATGTGTTTTTTAGGTGCTAGGGCGTGTAACTTTATTTGGTCAGTGGACCTGTGCTTTGTTAGTGAAGTGGCGTACTTGATTGTGGTGTTTCTTTGTTCTTTGACGGTTGTATTTGTGTGGTTGCTTGGGTTTTTTGGTGGAGATATTGCAGTATTTTTGTGAGCTAGTAGTGCTGTCAAGGTTTTGCGTTTTGGGTTTGTATACGAGTGGGTGTTTCTGAGATAAGGAAGTATTGCGTTTTTTAACTGTGCTAGGACGTGTAACTTTATTGGGTGGACCTGTCTTTGTGTGCATGTTGCTGTTACTTGTATTCTGGTGTTTCTTTGTTCTTGAGTTTGTATTTGTTGTGGTTGCTGGGTTTTTGGTGGAGGATATTTACAGTATGTTGTGAGCGTGCGTAAGTTCTGTTAGGTTTTCGCGGTTTCGGTTGAATTGCGAGTGGGTTGTATAACGATGGTGTGTTTATTGTGAAGAAGGAGTTTTGTGTTTTTTAACTGTGCTAGGACGTGTCACTTGTATTGCGGTGGACCTTGTCCTTTGTAGTGCAAGTTGCAGTGTTACTTGTATTTATGCGTTTGTTTGCTTCAGGAAGTTGTGTTTGTGTGGTTGGTTGAGTTAAGGGTGGAAGCATATACAGTATGTTGTGTGTCATGTAGTGAGTCTAAAGTCTAATTATTATTATTATTATTATTATGTTAAGCATTAAAATGTCTAAAACTTTTATTCGTGTCATTTTGTTGTATTTCTAATAATAACGATTCTACAATAGTTAAATGAAAAATCACTAAGTTTTTCGCTCATATCTAGTGAACTGTGGATGTTTTTCAAAAAACAAAAGCATATCTTAAATAAGCTCTTAAAACGACAACTCTTTCCTCATTTAACCGAATCCGTATGTCTTATGGTTTCCGAGATCCCAATGCTTAAAATGAAAAAATATTCACCCTGTATACAGTGATATTCATGTAGCAGTAGACAGTTTCCTATGTCTACTTTTAAATGATAAAAAGGACGCCTAACTTTATTCAACCAAAATAACTACCTACTATTATAAGTATTGTAATCCAATGTTTACTTGTAGAGCATCCTGTATATAATGAAAGTAGTTAAGATCACTTGTTGTGTGGTTAAGATGTACCTTTTTGCTTTGAGATAACGATGTCGGTTTTAGTTTTGTACTTGCATTACAAATAAATAGAGTGTGTTTCGAGGTGTGTTTGCTTATATTCTTGTCTGTCATATCAAAGTAATTAAAGTGCGTAAAGATAATACCTACAACAAATGAAGATCTGCCTGTCATGTCATGTTAATACTTCCGCATTCTAATTTTCGTTTGTCTGCGATGTATTCAACCAAAGAAAAAGTTGATATTTCCAATTGGTATAGTGCCGATAACAGTTAAAGGATATTAAGAGATTTATTTTCTGTGAAGCCAAAGCAACCATTTTCAAATTAATAATTAAAATGACAGCCAGATCTCTATTTGTTTCGAGAAGTTATTTTGGTTGCATAAAATATTAGGCGTCCTTCAGAAGACTTTTTATCATTTGAAAGTAGACATAGAAAATCACGTGCAAATACTTTCGAACGGTGTCACTATATATGTCAACGGTACTGGTCGTTTGAAATTTGTAATCAGCCTCTCTCTCATTGAATTTGACTAACGTAAGACTGTCCTGGTATAATACACGCATTTTAAATTCACAAAACTACGACGAGGTACATTTCACGCACCTGTATTCAAAACTGATAAAAACTACTACTTAACTCACTTTGACTTTAAAATCTGCGCATGCGCCAGTCAAACGTAGACTAAAGTTCTGTGCCTTACCTTCTAGGTCGAAAGCATCACTCGATTGTAATGTGTGGTCAATTCAAAATTACTGAAAGTCAAACGTAGACGCCAGTTTTGTGCGCTGCACTCAAGCCTATAGACGGTTTCTTTTCTGAACCCAAGCAACGCTATTTTTGTATGGCTCTGATTTGATGTTAAATCAGGTATTAGTATAGATCTCCATTAGCATACTTGCAAAAACTGCTTCACCTATGTAGCTATTCTTAAAAAAAAGGTTCTTGATAAAACCTATAATCACTGGTAAAACTAACGCGTTGAAAGTAATCGTGGATTCTTGGCTAATGCCAATTTGTGCGCGTGGGCTTTCATGAATGTGCGAAAGTACTAAAGCGTAGAATAGACAAAGTACCTAGTTCAAATCATGTAATCCCGAGATATAAGACGGCATTATACGGTAGAGAACATTCCAGAAATCTAGATTGACATCGAGGCGCCATGAACAATTAGTCGGCGATAAATAACGAAGGCGGGTAAGACATAATCTTTCTGAGAAATATGACGTATTTGTTAGAGAACATTCTAGAATAGTCAGATGGCTTCGGCAGTGTTCGAGATCATCTAGAAAGAGGGGCGTTTGGTACCAAGTCAAATGCGTTTTTAGTTCAGTTTTAATTTTAAAGCGTAAGTAGTTCGCGCTGTTATAAATTGTGTACCTACCTATACGTGAGTTGCGTCCTATGTGGCTAAAGCTATGCTCATTTTAAATTTCATGCAATTCAGTTCATAACGGAAATGTCAAAAGGGCCTTGCTTATTTTTTTTAACCACCTACAAAATTTCGTCATTATCGGTTCATTTTTTTTCGAGATATTGTGCTATTGGACAGACAGACACTGCAAAATCATAGTCGTTAGGAGCTCGATAATAAAGGAGCGCAAAGGGTAGACCACACCTAACAATGTGCGGTTAACCATAAGCATAAGGTACACCGCTGAAATAGGACTAAGAAAAAGGTTACGCGAAGTTCTTAGGTGAAATCTGCATAGACCTCCAGGCGCCATGAAAGATGAGTCATCGGCGATAAAGAACAAAAGCGTATAAAAGCCATAAATCAGATACAATTAAGGAATTTGTATTGACTTTCTTCAATATCAGTTTCTTTGCTAATTTCTGAATTCGAAAAGTTCAGTGCAACCATCTCAAGTTGCAGTTGAAACTTTAGGCGTTACCACTTTTTTCACCATCCTTCTTACTCATTGTATTAACCAACATAACTAATATAATATTTTTAATTGCTAATTTTTCAAGAATGTTACAATTTTGCTTACCCTCTTAATCGTTAATTCCACAAATAAACAAACTTACAAACTACATAGATATTTTAAAAATAAAAGTATGAAACTACCTCAATTTTGATTCTCGCTCTGTTTCTTACTCTTTTTCTTCTTCTTCTTGGGCGGTTCATCTGAATTCTGAGTTTCCTCTGCAACAGATCCATTGGTGGCATTTGATACATGATTCGATTCCGATTTACGCTTCTTCTTTTTCTTCTTTTCCGTTTTCGTAGCCAACTGAACTTCTTCTAAGGCTTCTTTCATAACATCAATATTTTTTTTAGGAATATCTCCAGTCTCGTAAAATTTAAGCCGATCTTCCACTTGCTGCTTGAGTTTATTTCCGAAAATGTTCGTGGGTTGCTCGGCAAAGCAATCGATTCTTGAAGCGATTGAACATTTGTTCGCCAAATATCGGGAAATTCTACCTTTATTTTTAACTGCCGCCCGTCCAATGAATGTCGAATGAAATAGAAGTCCGTACTTTGGGGTGTTGCCTCGGGTTTTTAAAGCTCTAAACAAAGCTTTCTCAGCTCCCAAAATTTGTACAGTTGAAGACGGATACTTGGCAAGGTTTGTCAAAGAGCCCGCTCGTGCTATTAATCTTGCCCCAACAAGATCTCCGATTAAGGTGGCTAGATTAGGAGCAATATCGCCCATCTTTGTTTTTAAATATTCAGAAAGTTGTTTGCGGTAATCAGCCAATGCAATAACACGACTAGCAAACATTTCAATGTTAATCATATCGATGGGACTGATTTCCATGCCCATGCTTGATCGTGATGCGTCTAATATGGCTTGTGCTTTGGATGAATCCATAACAATCTCCTCCAATCCTTCCACAGAATCTTGTGTGAGGTCTTTACGATTCTTGATAAACTTGCACAATTGAGCGAACATATAATTTTCTGGAACAATTTTTACCAATTCTGGAAAGTGATAGGAGTACCACTCTCTTATTCTCATCGCAAACGTGTTAATATCCTTATCCAGCTGATCAAGTAATGCAATCGATTGAATGATCATGTTGTCAACCCTGTTCACGTTGAACTTCACTTTCGCACGAGAATAGGAATGACCCAAGCCAAGCTGTGCAACTGCGGAACTTTTCGAAGTAAAACCCTTTACAAGGTTAGGAAAATGATGCCGAATACCTCGGAGAATTTCAGGAACCGCACCCACATGGTTACATTGAATGCCTAAAGACTCGGTGATGGCAGCCCCAAGCTTAGGGTCGAAGACGCCCAAACAAACTTTTTCTTTCTTACCACTTTTAGGTACCGTAATATCTATGAAGTGCATTAAATCTTCTGGAAGGAGACCTTCTGATATAGCGTTGATACTTTCGAGTGCAGTGACGGCACTTTTAAACGGAGAAAACCCCACCAGCTTCACGACGCTGTTAAATCTTGATAAGTCACTAATTGACGCTTCCACCTGCGGTAACAGCATTCCAATTTCTTCGAACTCTTTAACTTTGAATATGCCATAGCCAGCGGCATGCTCGAAGAGCACATATAACTGGGTCTAAAAAAAGTGGGGTTAAATCAATCAAACAAATGTTCTCGAGTTATTTTACGAGTAAGTCGTATGTTACAAACTTTCACTTTTTAAACATATACGACCATATCTATGTTGTAATAGTGCTTACCATTATAATTTATTTAAAAATTTGTAATAATTATTTAAACAAAACATGTGGAATTAAAAACACTACAAGTTCCCATATACGCATGCCCAGAAAGTTATCGGTTATCTACACTAAAGAAGGATTTACACTATAACTACTATACAGGGTACGTTCGGCATTGAGATCGGAGTATATAAAGTGCACTTTTTCATAACTAAGGAATTAGGCCGGGCGCTAAAGGGTTTGAGCATGCATTGAAAGTCTAACGCAGTTTGACTTTTGATTATTGTTGGGAGCATATAGTAGATGCAAAAAATCGATGTCGTCGCATTTCCGCGGTGGGCATAACATGAGGGGGAGGGGGCAAAGTCGCGCGCGTGGCGATTTACTTTATCGCTTCTAACTCAAAGACGGTAATAGTTAGAGCACTGCTTGAAGCGGATATTTACAGCTACTTATATTACCTACAAAAAAGGCCCTAAGGATAAAAGTCGTACCTCTAACCGTTTTGTTACAAATAAATTATTTTTGAATATATCTAAATTCGATCATAAATCATATTTAATGCACATTTCTTATATGTGTAAGATAAATTTAATAATGTATGTTATTAGATAAATATTTTATACAGTTACAGTTATTCACCACGTACTTGGGCACCCAGTCACAAATCTTTCTCGCCTTCGCTCTCTTCGTCAGACTCTTTAGTTTGTAATGGGTTTCTGCATTTACCAACACATTTGCAATAAGAACAACAAGAAGAATTATTTGATAAACAGTTACATGTTTTTTTGGAGCAGTTTTTGCATTTGCAGGGCTGAACTGCTTCCAGATTTGCATAACATCAATGCTGGCGAGCATGGCTTGAGTATCAATTTTACCCTTTACGTTCATAAATTGTTCGGAATACGCCAGGTGTAGATACATAAAAAATTGATGAATCATCACTCTGAAGATCACCAAAATTAATACCCGATGGATATGCAGACATTTAATATTGGAACTAATTCGAGGGGACATTACCAAAACATTATGTGAGAAGTAATTTCTGCATTACTTAAACATGTTTAGTGATCGGTCAATCTTTTGAAGATTTAAATTTAATTCCTACATTATGCCAATTAAAATATGATGACAATACTTATGTACTTTTATAATTACTCTTATAACATATAAACGACACTATTAAAATTCTCTTACAGATTCAAGAAATATGTGGCAAATATGATTTTCAGTGTATTTGGATATATTCTGAAATAATTTATTTGTAACGAAACGGTTAGAAGTACGACTTTTATCCTTAGGACATTTTTTGTAGCCAATATAAGTAGCTGTAAATAGCCGCTTCATGTATTGCTCTAACTATTACAGTCTTTGAGTTAGAAGCGATAAAGTGAATCGCCACGCGCGCGACTTTGCCCCCTCCCCCTCATGTTATGCCCACCGCGGAAATGCGACGACATCGATATTTTTTATCTACTATATGCCCTCAACAATAATCAAAAGTCAAAATGCGTTAAACTTCCAGTGCATGCTCAATACCTATATTAGCGCCTGGACTAAGTAGCCTTACGTTTGAGCTACCGGTTAGTTGCATCAGCACGTACTCTCTGTGAGTTTTGAGTGCATTTGTTTGTGTAAAAAGTGAAAACTTGGGGTAGTCTTGAATGTTTTCTCATCAGTGTTAGTAGCTAATCGGACCAATCTATCTCTTTTTTTGATCTATTGCGGAATCCAGAAGCGTTTCTTTTTGTATCGTAAAAACCTAAATTCCAAGAGTCAGAGGGCCGAAGTAGGTGCGTGACTGAATAGATGATCAGCCACTATTGGCTCCAACTTCGA